TGTTTTTGTGATTAATCACTATGATTTAATTATGTTCAATTTGTAACAATGAAATTGGGGGTCACCACAACATGAGGAACTGTATTAAAGGGTCGCAGCATTAGGAAGGTTGAGACCACTGGACTAAAGTTTATTTCTACCTCAGTTGCTGGCTCCTACCCAGCCTGGCCCTGGTCCGGGCTTTGGCAGGAGGCAACCAACTGATGTGGTTCTCTCTCATCAATATTTCTGTCTTTCCCTCTCTCTCTAAACATCAATGGGAAATAATCCTCAGGTGAGGATTAAAAAAACAAACAAAGGTGGGTAACCTGTTCAGAAGGTCAAATCTTCAAGCTGCTCCTAGGGGGGGTTCGGGAATGAATGTCCTTGAGCATCTCCAGGACCGATGGTGCCTCCACATTCTGGAAGGTGTTCTGGACTCTGCCGAACAGGATGAAGTATTTCACCTCCAGACAGATGAACCCGAAGTGTTCTCATCAAACAGGATGAAGACTCAAGGGAAGCTTCTGGGGTAGGCCAAGCCATAGAAACACATCCTGCAAGTTCAGGGGTAGTTGTGGAGTCTTGAGTACATGCCCACAGGCAGAACAAACGGGACAGGCTGCTCCTTCGAAGCTATAGCCCTGGACACCCCGATGCTGGGCTGGGCAGGGCTCTGCCAGCCATAGCCCTTGCTTTCTTCAGTCCCGTCTTCTTGCTGCTGCTGCTGCAGCTGCTGCTCCCAGATCACCTGCTTGTCAATCTCCTGGACCACCCGGGAGAGCTCATTGAAGTTGTGGAAGATCTCGCCATCTGGCAGCTGGATCCAGCACAAGAGGTGGATCTCTAACGTCTCCTTGGAGTTTCCCGTGATCTTCGTGACACTGGCATACTTCCCATGGAAGCTGAGCATGGCAATCATTAGGCCAAAGACATCGTAGTTGCCTTGGAAAAGGCCTGGCCAAATGAGGTGGCCCGGGTGACTCTGCGGGAGGTAGAAGCGGCGGTAGGTCAGGCAGTCATACTGATATCTGTCCTCCTGCGTCAGCACCAACCACCCTTTCTCTAAGTCTCATTGTTAAAACCTCTTGGTGGTCTCTATTGTTGCACCGCACGGTGAGCCTGTCCTTTTGAATCTGCATGTGGCGGTTGTGGGGCCTGCTGAGGCAGCCTTCCATGCACTCCACCTTGGCAGGTTTCCTCTCTGTCAGGCAAATTCTGAACGAGGGGGCTTGAATTGCAGTGGGCCATCCACATGGGTGTTAAGGGAAAGCCCGTAGGTCCAACCAGTAATGCCTAAGCCATCCACCACTACATTCACTAGTGTTCTATAGTGCTCAGCATCTAGCTGCCACAATCCCAAAATGTTTCTGTATGGGAACAGCTTCGCATAGACTTCTCGATAAGACATACCCATCATCTCCAGGTTTTGCAAGTTGTCACGAATGCCAAACTCCTCCTGGCAGCGCCTTCTCCAGATGCTGTCGATGTGCAGGATGTGGTGCAATTGGGTGCAGGCCTGGGCCAGGCTGGGCAGGTCAGTGCCGAGAACCTAGGCAAAGATCTTGACCAACATCTCCACTGGCAGGTCCTGCAGTGAGCAATTTGGCGGCTGCCTGGGGCTCGCTACTCCTCCACTCCCCGCACAGCACCGCAATGCCGCATCCCCCTCAACGTGCTTTTCTGCCGGGGTCTGCTTGCCATCGGCCGCTGCCTTCTCAGCTGGGCGCTGGCGCTTTTGAGGGTACATACATCCCCCCGAAGAGCCCACACCGCAGAAGCAAGCGCACCCCTCCATGTCTCCAGAGGTAACAGCCACCACAGTGTGGGCTGCTGCTCCTCAGCCAGGCTTTAAGAGGGCCAGACCAGGCCACGCCCCCTCACACGGGAGCCAATTGTAGGACTTTAAACCCATACCCATTAACAGTGGCCTTCCATTCCCAGAGCGCCTTCCCTTTCCTGCTGCTCTAGCCCCAGGCAGTCACTAATCTGATTTCTGTATGGATATGCCACCAGGGATACGCCTATGGGCAGAGGGTGTGTGTGTGTGTGAGAGAGATGAGGGGGGGACAAGGACAGTTCACATAAATGCAGTCATAATATCTAGTCTTCTGTGACAGGCTTCTTTCACTTGGCATAACATTTTAAAGTTTTCTGTATGCTATATTCTAGTGTATGGGTATACCACCTTTTGTTTACCCATTCATCAGTTGATGAGTATTTGGGTTGTTTCCGGTTTGAATAACGCTGGAATGAACATTGTGTACAAGTTTTTTTGTGTGACCATGTTTCCATTTCTGGTGGGTATATACCTAGAAGTGGAACTTCTGGGTCATCTGGTAAATATCGTTTTCCAACGTGGCACAGCTATTTTACATTTCCACCAGCAATGTACGAGGGGTCCAATTTTAAAACATTCTCATGAATGTTTTTTATGTTATTTTATATTTATACAATTGATTCTTTTAAAAAACATATTTTATTAATTTTTTACAGAGAGGAAGGGAGAGAGGTAGAGAGTTAGAAACATCGATGAGAGAGAAACATTGATCAGCTGCCTCCTGCACACCCCCCACAGGGGATGTGCCCGCCACCAAGGTACATGCCACTGACCGGAATCTAACCTGGGACCCTTCAGGCCGCAGGCCGCCGTTCTATCCACTGAGTCAAACCGGTTAGGGCATGGACTGAATGTTCTTGAGCATCTCCAGGAAAGCCTGCGGGGATGGTGCCTCCGCATTCTGGAAGGTGTTCTGGACTCTGCCCCACAGGAAGAAAGATTTCACCTCCAGAGAGATGAACCCGAAGTGGTTCTCATCGAACAGGATGAAGACTCCAGGCAAGCGCCAGCGGTCGGCTGAGCCAAGTAAGGTAAAAGTGTCCACGGCATAGAAACACATCCTGCAGGTGCGGGGGTAGTTCCGGTCTCTTGGGACCACGCCCACAGGCAGAACAAACGGGACAGGCTGCTCCTCCGAAGTTGAAGCCCTGGACTCCCCGACTCTGGGCTGGGCAGGGCTCTGCCAGCTGTGGCCCATGCTTTCCTCAGTCCAGTCTTCTTGCTGCTGCTGCTGCTGCTCCCAGATCACCTGCTCCTCAATCTCCTGGACCACGTGGGAGAGCTGGTTGAAGTTGCAGAAGATCTCGCCATCTCGTAGCTGGATGCGGCGCATGAGGTGGATCTCTAATATCTTGTTGGAGACTCCCGTGATCTTGGTGACCCTGGCATACTTCCCATGGAAGCTGAGCATGGCAATCTTTAGGCCATAGGAATCGTAGTCGTATTGGAAGAGGCCAGGCCTGATGAGGTTGTCCGGGTGGCTCGGCGGGAGATAGAGGCGGCGGTAGGTCAGCCAGTCAAACCGCTGTCTGTCCTCCAGCAACAGCCCCCATTCTTCCCTAACCCCCGTTCGGAAATCAGTTCGGTGGTCTGTGTTCTTGCACTGGGTCGTGAACCTGTCCTTCTGAATCTGCAGGTGGCGGTTGTGGGGCCTGCTGTGGCGGCCTTCCATGCACTCCAACCTGGCTTGTTTCCTCTTTGTCAAGCAAATTCTGAAGCAGGGATTGAAATGTACTGGGCCACCCGCATGGGTGTGAAAGGAAGGCCTGTATTTCCAACCAGTAATGCATAAGCCATCCACCACTACATTCACTAGTGTTCTATAGTGCTCAGCATCTAGCTGCCACAATCCCAAAATGTTTCTGTATGGGAACAGCTTCGCATAGACTTCTCGATAAGACATACCCATCATCTCCAGGTTTTGCAAGTTGTCATGAATGCCAAACTCCTCCCGGCAGCGCCTTCTCCAGATGCTGTCCATGTGCAGGATGTGGTGGAATTTGGTGCAGGCCTGGGCCAGGCTGGGCAGGTCGGTGCCGGGAACCCAGGC